AAATAAACCAGAAGAAGAGCCAACATGGTTGAGAATCAAGACTCAATGGCAAAAAAATACATGAAGTAAACTAAAAATACAACAAAGAACTGAATAGGACGACGACTATAGTGATAATATACAGGGTTGGAAGAGACAAAACCGTCAGAGCTGTAAGGACTATAAACAGAGGCTGCTGGCAGCAGCGACAAGAAGCATAACATGCGCCAGAGCAGGTTCCAAGGATACACATACAAAACAAAACGTTTGCTCAAAATACTAAAGTCTTCTATAGAAAACTAGAAGCAAAGTACAGAGAAGCAATTAATGTGGAAATCGTGAGTCGTAATCTCAGAATAATCGCTTGAAAAGAATCGGTTCGAATCAAAGGAAGATTCACGACTATGGATTGCTCAACTTTCAGTTACACGAAAAGTCGGCAGACAGAAGCGGATGACTTACGCGGACTCGGATTCACCGTTGCATTGTAAAAAAAAGCCCAGGTGCTTTGTATTGCGACCGTTGTCGCGAGGCATCGCCATGATTTTCCACGGCAGACCGCGAACATACACCGGTGGACTGAGTTGCTGAGTTTTCATCTTGCTGACGTTGGTGACTTCGAACTGGAAGGTCGCTTCTGCCTTGTAATCGTCGTCTTCATCTTCAGCCATCTCATGGGTCCTCATTACTCCGGCGTTGTTGTCTGCCGATACCGGGCTATTCACCGAAGGATGATCTACAATGAACCAAAACTAGGCACATGTTCGCATAATGAAAAAAGTTACGGAGACAAAATAACAAAACAAGTACGAAAATTACGGTGACAGTCACGTTAATCTTTTGACCATGAAGCTATGCACAATGCTTTATTGAAACTAATAAAACTCGGAAACGAGTCTATCTTAATATAAGCCTTCAGTAACCTCTATTGTTGTTGTTGCAATGCTAGAAAAAGTACATCAACAATCAGAGCAAACCAGAGACCAAAGTTCATCCAACATATGCATCTTCCCAGATAAAAGACATAACAGACTGAACGAGCACCGGTACTTAGAATCGACGAACATGACTGCTATGACCTTGTATATCCAAAGTTTATAGTAAAGCATAACAGTACTACAGCGGGAAACACTGCAACGCATGTGCGTATACTGATAACACAACGCATATGCTACAAATGAATATTTTCAAACAATATACAATTGTTGCGAATAATAATGTCATAAAAAAGGTCATAAGGACAGTAGCATTGGTATATATTTCACTGCAACATGTGCTTCAGTAACAGATTATAGTTTTGAACGGTTACTGTGATAGTTTAGCTCAAGCTACAACCCTAAATCCCGCTCTATTCTGTCGAACTCTGTGATACGGATGTACATCAACGTCCAGCCGGTACTCAAATGTCGTGGTATTTACATGTCCCGCCTACCCCTTCCCAAAGTGCCTATGCGATGCTGCTGCATAACCCGGTAACTTGTACAGCTATGCTATGCGTCAATGTTGATATAAACTACGGCAGATTTCATCTTTTTATCTGCTGTATCGAAGACGATGTCACCGGGTGTCGTACAAGCATTCAACCTAGATGAAATAAACGTTCGCTCATTACTCAGACCTTTCTTTGTCATATCAGTTTAAATGAGATGTTCCCGTCTTGTTGCACGTTTTCCTGGCAGCCAGTTGTTATCAGGCTTACCGTTCAATATCACAAGGCGGCTATAATCCATTCGTTGCCAGTGACCCTATCGTTTTAAACGTCGTATCCGCAGACTTTAGTTGAATATTCCAATCTCTCTTTTACACCCGTACTCGACGCCAGATTGTACCAATTCACTCCTAACACAGATCATAAATCTTCGTCTTTTCTGCTACCAGCTATGCTAAACGCTGCTTTCTACAAGCCATAGAACAAAATGCTCAGAATGCAAGCCTGCATCTCTGCAGCTTCGTTCTGTTGTGAATATCTTTACCCTTGATGAACTTGAATACTCAGTCGCTCGTTGCTAAGATCCACGCACACCGCCTCTTAACTTCGCTTGTCACTCGTATATCTGCAGCTAATCTATGAAATGTCAGGAAGATCCACAATCACCTTGCATCTGAAGGTCGAACCACTCTAAACAGAAACTTCGTGGTGCAGTTGGACACAACTTGCAAGACTAAAACATTAAATGATACAAGGATGGCAGCGTGGCTGCAAAGATAAAACTAAAAGGTAAATAGGAAATAATAAGCTGGATAAAAAACACCTTCAGAATATCAGGAGCACATGTGAGAAATTCGATTCATTACTTAATGACAATCAATATGTAAAACACGTTTAGTGAAAATAAGACAAATCCAAATTCATTATATTATTAAGCTTATACTGATTCTGGTTTAAATTTCTGAAACGCACATTTACATCTGTAATGACTGTATTTATTTATTAGGTTAGTTAATATGAACTGCAGCCGTCATAAAACGTACGCATCAGACAGCATGGTCGGATGTCTCGCATGCTTCGGAATGACTACCACAAAGCATCATACTGCAGCTGTTATCTGAAGATAACCGTCCTGCTAGCTGTTTTTCTACGTGCTGCACCGAAACACAGTGGAGTCAATACATCGCGTAAGGGAACTGGCAAACAACGAGAGAAAGTTTACCTAACACGCGGGGTTTGACTATCCAAAGTGCAAAATAAATATACTACAAAGTCATATAAAAAATTCATATAAAACTAAGAACGTAAATTAAAAATATTTAATTTGCAATGCGACAAAACTTTTGTCCCAACCCTAAGAATATGAGTGCAATTTCAAACTATGCGTTTCATGTACCATCTATCCCCTGCTTCTACATTCTAATGTTCGTAAGGTGGTAAAGTGCAAAATACGATCAATTCATAAGTTACACTGTAGACATGACAACGTCACAAAAGATATGAAAAAAATCTCAAAAAATTGATAAAAGCACAGTCACCTATTACATATGCTCCTTTGTCACTAGACGTTA